TCTCTCTCTCTCTCTCTCTCTCTCTCTCTCTCTCTCTCTCTCTCTCTGTGCATCATTGCTGCCCCCTACTGGTTTAAAGCTGGACTGACACACACACACACACACTCTGTTATGACAGCAGATGTTTTCAGATGAAGATGAAGACTGTGATATGTGACATATTGTGACTGTGATATGTGAGATATGTGATACAACATATTAAATTAATTAATACGTTTTTAAGCTTTTTGGTTGTTTTCTATAACAGAAATAATAATGATAAAAATGTAAAACTGTGTAGTTTTAAGTCAGAACCCTTCAAATATTCTTGGATTGTTTATTGTTTGTTTGTTGTCTTCCAGGTGAAGAGTGTGTTCAACATGACGGCGAAGGAGGGCAGGAAGAGGTCCATCAGCTGTCTGGTCGCTGTGGGGAACGGAAACGGAGCCGCAGGTTCGACTCTGGAACAGAACCAGAACTGATCCACATCAGAGTCTGCTGGTGCTGCTTCATGCGTCAGCAGCAATAATTAAACTACATTTAAACTATAAACAATAAAGTGAGTTTAACTGTCAGCGTCTCTCCTCCTGCAGGCTTTGCTTTGGGGAAAGCAGCCGACAGAATCACCGCTCTGAGGAAGGTGAGACCACAACATCATCATTATGATTATTATTATTATTATCATTATTATTGCTATTATCATTATTGTTATCATTATTATTGTTATCATTATTTATATTATCATTATTTATATTATTATCATTAATAGTATTATTATCATTATTATTATCATTGTTATTATCATTATTAATAGTATTATCATTATTTATATTATCATTATTTATATTATCATTATTACTAATATTATTATTATTTAATAGGATTATTAATATTATTATCATTATTAATATTATTATATTATTATTATCATTATTAATATTATCATTATTAATATTATTATCATTACTAATATTATTATTATCATTATTAATATTATCATTATTCATATTATTATCATTATTTATATTATTATTATCATTATTTATATTATTATCATTATTATTATCATTATTTATATTATTATCATTATTCATATTATCATTATTACTGATATTATTATTATTTAATAGTATTATTAATATTATTATATTATCATTACTAATATTATTATTATCATTATTATTATTATCATTATTCATATTATTATTATCATTATTCATATTATTATTATCATTATTACTATTATTACCATTATTATCATTATTACTATTACTATTATTATTATCATTATTAATATCATTATTATTATTATTATCATTATTAATATCATTATTAATATTATTATCATTATTAATATCATTATTAATATTATTATCATTATTCATATTATTATTATCATTATTTATATTATTATCATTATTATTATTATTATTATCATTATTACTATTATTATCATTATTACTATTATTACTATTATTATCATTATTACTAATATTATTATTATTATCATTATTACTATCATTATTATTATTATTATTATTATTATAATAATATCAATGATGATTAATATTATTATTCAGTTTGTTATTATCCCAGTTCATGTCATTCCTGATGTCTAGGTGAAGCATGTTTTTATATATATTATATAGTTTAGGTGTAAATAGATTTGATTCATGAAGTAAAATGTTTAAACAGAACTTTACTGTAGAAACAACATTAAGAAGTTAGATTCTCATTCATGTTCATTTAGGAGCTCTTTTGTTTCATTATATTTTATGCTAATGATGAGACTTAATATCCACTAATCACACTTATCATTCTATACACAACAATAACACATAATGACATCACTATATAGATATCTGTAGATTAATACACTGACATGTGTTCCCCTCTGGTTTCTGTAATAAAAGATCAAACCATTTTTACATAATTACATATTTGGATTCTTCTGCCCGAATATATACATCTGATTTAATCCCCAAACTCTCTTCAATGTATAAAGACTTTATCACAAAGCAGAATAATTAATACTACAACAGTTACTCTATGACTTCCGTACTGTGATATTCATAATCATAATAATATTCAAATGACAGCTTGTGTGTTTGTGTGATCTGCAGGCGAAGAACAGAGCGATCCACTACTTGTACTACATCGAGCGCTACAACAACCAGACCAGTGAGTGACTCAAACACCTCGCCGTCTCATCCTCACTGTCTAGTGCAGTGGTTCTCAAACTTTTTCTGTCACGCCCCACTTTGGAGGAAGAAACATGTTCATGCCCCACCGCCCCAACAAAATTGTAACAAAATGCTCCATGTTGAACTTTTATTGAAATAACATTGTGTGACTCCTCCGTCTGTGCTTTTTCAAATAATAGAATAAAGAAAATTGCAATCACTTTCAAGTAAACCAGATTGCTCCATCAGACAAAAACAAATGAAATGTGCAATCGCTTTGTTAGAACAATGCAAATAAAGTTATATCTGTTCAAAAAATAACTCATATTTGGCAGAAAATAGCTTATTGTGGCTGCAATTCACCTGTTTTACACTGAATATCTTTCTAAGATAATAACAATATAGTGCAACCTGTGAAAAACTAAACAAAACAAGTTCAAATATTTGGCAATAAAGAGTTTTACAGAGTTTTACACTGCATATCTTTTCAAAACAACGATAACGTGCAACCTGTGCAAAACTAAACAAAATGAGTGCAGATATGTGTGAGCCATATGCTCACACATATCTGCAGGAAGCTGTCCTCACGTCTGTTTAGACCTCCACCTTTATCCAGGCCCAGCTCCACCTTTATCCAGGCCCAGCTCCACTCACAGCTCAGCCCTGCGTCAAGCTGCGCTACACAACCAGCCTCCTCTCCCTGGAGCTCTTTGACCTTTGACCTCGTCATCTCATCAGTATCTGGGCCTTTCATTCTACTTTGAGTTAAAACAAACAACCTGCAACCAGATGCGCCGGTGTTCTGGTTTAACGTTAACGAAACGTTGCATGTTTCATCACGTTGCGTTTTTTCCTCCTAAATCGTGACAATGACGAACGTTAACAGTCGACAAAGTTCCGCATGCAGTGGACGTTAACTTAACCCAGCAAGTCTGAACGGTAACGGGACATAACGTAACTTAAACTGTAACGGAGGGAAATGAAGACGCTGTAGACATCTGAACGCTGATTGGCCAAGACTCAACATGTCACATCAAAGATGTTTTATTGCGAAGATCACGACATCACCTTTTCTCCTCGTCCCACTCCAATCTGAGAAACGCTGGCTGGCCAGTTGACCACCCCCCCCCCCAAAAAAAAACAACCTCTATGGATCTACACGATTCACGTCAATGATATATTTTGATTCAAAACGGCGAATTATTTTGCCGAGAAGCGACAAGTTTGCAGGTATGAATAAAGTTCTTGAAATAAAAAAATTCAGCATTTCCCCCTGCGCCCCACCTGCAATACCACTGCGCCCCACTAGAGGGGCGCGCCCCACAGTTTGAGAACCACTGCTCTATGTCAAGAGAAACGCTAGCAGCAGCTAGCAGCTAACCTGCAACAACATGCGGATCATCTAAATCTCTAACACTCGTCCACAACTGTCCCCTTCAATCGCCCGCTGGCACTCGTACCAGCGACCTCATGTAGAGAGAGAAGCTACGAGAGCTTCAGGGCAGCGCTCATGGCTTCTTGTGCTGCTGGAGAGCAAAGCCAGGGAGATGAATGTGAGTCATCAGAGAGAGAGAGTGTTAGCTTCCTGCTCTGGCCCGAGACCAGGCGAGCTGTGTGTGTGTGTGTGTGTGTGTGTGTGTGTGTGTGTGTGTGTGTGTGTGTGTGTGTGTGTGTGTGTGTGTGTGTGTGTGTGTGTGTGTGTGTGTGTGTGTGTGTGTGTGTGTGTGTGTGTGTGTGTGTGTGTGTGTGTGTGTTTCCACCCTGTTGGAGCTCAAAAACTGGTATATTCAATTTTTTTGCAAGTTCATAGAAAGAAACAAAAACCCAGTGAAATGGTTCCACGTGCTCCCACTGTCCCACCAGCTGTTACCTGTCTGGACCGTCATGTGACCGCTTGTTTGTCTTCGTCCCGGTCGTCCATCTTGTCTTTTGGGGGGGGTGATCTCACTGTCTTTGTCATCAGATTGAATTCTGTGACAGATCAGTCAGCTTCTCGATCATTTTGTTTTTTCGACCTGTTAGTTGGACAGTAAGTAACTTGTAACATCAGGTTCTGGTGATTTACTTCCTCCAGATGATTAACAGCTTGTCTGTGTGATGAACAACATCTGGACCAGGAGTCGGGACGTGTTGTTGTGGTTGTTGGCTCCAGCCTCCCAGCACTGTTAGTGAATATTCATGCTGCTTCAGTACGAGTGAATGAACGGTACAACGCCAGTCTGAATACATTTAAACAACAATTTTCAGTTATTTTAGTTTCCTTGACTTTTTAAAAATAGTGAAAGATCTCACTGGGATATAAAAAGTGTTTCAAGGAGATTTATTTTTTGTTTTTGTTTTTCTGTCTTTTTTGACTTTGTCGCCGTTCGTGAGTCAGACAGAAAAACACCAGCTGAACCTGGACCTCCTGCAGCCTCAGCACAGGTTCAGCTCCCTCTACAGCGTGTGTGTGTGTGTGTGTGTGTGAGTGAGTGAGTGAGTGAGTGAGTGAGTGAGTGAGTGAGTGAGTG